GTCCACAATAGAGTTTCTGCCCAAGCTGACTTTTTTATTTGAATTAGCATGTTAATTGTTAATCGCATGCAAAAAATCAAGGTAAGTCACCGAGTTAATTTTCGAAATAAAAAGAAATGTTTTTCGCACGTTTCATTTCCGGTTTCTTCGATTTTTTATGGCAATTTGGATTCCAAGCTGACGCGAGCAGTAAAAGCGAGCGCGCGCGCTAAAAACCCTTTCGAGCCTCCTTAAAGCAAGTCGAGTTCAAACGGAGTTTGAATTTTGACTCGAGGCCTTGCTTCGGGTTTTTCGCACGTTTCATTTCCGGTTTCTTCGATTTTTTATGGCAATTTGGATTCCAAGCTGACGCGAGCAGTAAAAGCGAGCGCGCGCGCTAAAACCCTTTCGAGCCTCCTTAAAGCAAGTCGAGTTCAAACGGAGTTTGAATTTTGACTCGAGGCCTTGCTTCGGATTCGTTTGTAAATATATCGACTGTCGTTTCCCTAATGGTTGCGTGTCGCGTGTTTTAAGTTCTTGAGGCCCAAGCTTATTTTATGTTTTCAAAAGTAACACCTTCTTGGTAAAATTTCTCGATATTAACAATCAATAGGTAAAGTTTGAATGAAGTCTAGGAGCAGTTTTATTTCAAGGGAATTCCCTAAGCAATCTAACTTCAGTTAGTGAACACACGCTAAGTCAAATGCAGAACTTTTTAAACTCGACTCTAGACAAATTGTTATTTCATTTGGCCCTTGTGAATTGCGACGTTTCAACCAGTAATGACAACCGAAAGAATAAACATAGTAAACTTGAGCTGTGCTTATTTTTTTGTGTATTTGTATCGAATTCTTAAGAAAATCTCACAGAAAATAGTAAAAAGAGAAAAAAAAAAAATTAATAACAAACGCGAACCCTTTACATTTCTCTCACACACGCTTAATGGCAGACAAAAAAAAAAAACGTTTACCGTTTGCGTGAGTGTTAACTCAAATAGTTTGCTAACTCTGTTAATGTAATAAGGTAATGACTCTTGTTAAGTCTTAATTTGAAATAAGTGTAAACAAAAAGACTACTCTATGGTTTAAAGCCTTCACGATACGTAAAAAGATGGCGCCACACGTTGCATTCTAGGGTAGATTGACATGTCAGCCCCAAATTTACTGTGTTTGTATGGGAATCTGACGGCGAATAATTTCCTTAGAAAATAAATTCTGAACAACAGGAGCACAACAGTTAATAACTGACAACGTAAATCGTCTCCACAATTTAAAAGTTCAAGACAAGTAGCATTGAATTTTGTACAAACCTTTTCTCTCGTCTTGTCACGGCCGAAGTGCCCAGCAAGTTTGTCAGAGTGACAAGCTCTCAGTATCTTCTGCTGCTCGTCTTGGCAATGAACCCATCTTTTAGGCTCACCTTTTTTCTGGCCAATGAAATAAAGCGCACCATCTTCAAGAACATATTTTAGCGCTTTCTTGCGCAAGTTTCTCTTTTGGTCTTTCGAAAAATCGATCGGATATTCGTTATCGCGGAGATAGTTAAAGACTTCGTTGTACGTTTTCGTTTCGGCCATCGTTCATGGAATGAATCATAAAAGTAATGATAACACTTGTGGAATTGAGTGCCCTTTTATACATAGCGAAGACAATAAAAGTAAAATAAAACCTTTGCAGTAGGCGGAGAAACTAAACTTTATTGTGCTGCACACAGTAACAATAACATAAATGAATAATTGCTGTAACACGTTCCACGCTTATTAACATTTCTATATATCAAGACAATGTAATTATCGTCTAAAAGCGACCTATTGTCTAGTACATGTTTATCACTTCATACCGATAATTTGTTAACATTCGACTAGACAAAAAAACAATATCAATAAATAAGTTTAACTAAATGAGTTAAACCGTTTTTATATTTGCTCTATCAGTTAGTAAGTTGTGAAACATTTTATAACCGCACTGAAAATAACTTTTTATGGTCGGTGCTTAACAGACCAAGCGCAACACTAACTATAACTTTTACGCGTTAAAGAGTATTATGAGAACGTTTGATTCAAAGTTACACACTTGCGGTACATAAAGACACGCTTTTCAAGGCTTCTGGTGAAAAGCGCTAGATTTCAAAAAGAAAAGAATCTAGACGAGAAAAAGATTAAAAAAGAAAAGGAAAGAAAACAATGTAATTAGAATATAGCGGTGTCTTATTGTCTATCATCTACTTTTGTTAATTCACCCTACCAAACACTCTGTTTTTAACTTGACAAGAGCGCTAAAAAGACTTGAAGTTTAACTTAATTACTTTCATTCAAGAGGTAAGTAGCAAGTAGCACAAACGCAACGCGATGTTTATTTAACGGTGCGCCTAAAATAACATCATAACAGAATAACTTAATAAAGAAGTAAATTGTTCAACCGTATAAAATTAAAGTAGGCGGAGCAACGCATATCAGTTGAGGAAAACGAACAGCGAATTCCCGATTCTTTCGAACCTTCGTGAAAATAAAGCTTAATTCGAGAAATTGCGTTGACTAAAGGCTTTTTGTTGAAGTTGTCGGAAGTTTAGAAGTCGAGATTTGAGCAATCGGTATTTCACAAAACCAAAAAAAAAAATCATAATTGAAGCTTTCACGCATTCAACGGTTGTTATTATTTTATATTTCACACTTTTTCAAGAGAACTGGCAAGCAAACAAATGATTTCAAAATTTACGTTTCATTTTCATTCCAGAGGTAAACAACAGACTTACAGCTGCAGGTTAATTAAACGAAAACCTTAAATTGAGACGCAATGCTGAGAAAAAGATCACGTCTACGAGAATGTTTTAAAATAAAACCTACTTTCTGAAAAAAAAAAAACTTTTTTTGAAAGCCTACTTTCTAAATTTTTATTATTTCTATTAGGAAGTTATGTATGGTAATGTTTTTACTCAGTTTTGTTAAAGGGGTCCAAATCCGCGGAGGGGAGTCCAAATCCGCTAGCGGATATGGACCCCGGGGGTCCAAATCCGCTAGCGGATATGGACCGGGGGGGTCCATATCCGCTAGCGGATTTGGACCGGGGGGTCCAATTCTAGGGGGGTCCAAATCCGCTGGGACACCGGCTGTGAACGTTTCTGCTAAATATATTAGCACTCCTTCGAGCGAGAACGGAGTTGCTGCCATCTTCAAGGCGAATTCAACGGAGTTTTTCAGGGGATGCTCTGTCTTTCTGTTGATACAGTTCAGCTCCAAAGAAAGCTCTCTTGCTTCTTTACAACGAGCACAATAAACCAGACAGTTAATAAATATTTACCTTTGAATCCTCGTAGAACTGAATATAAACCGTAAACTGTTGGTTAAAGTTCACATTACAGTCTTGGTCAATTCTTGGAAAGCTAAAGGAAGTAAAACATAAATGTACTTATTTTTTTTCTTTACAATTTCCATATTTGGATAACAAGGAAGAGAAAAAACATTATCGACTAATATCTTACGAGGTAATTTAGTGTTAACAACTGGGTTGAAAACGTAAATTAGCCACCGTAAAGGGTAAAAAAAAGCTGACGTTTCGAGCGTTAGCCCTTCGTCAGAGCGATTAGAGGAATTGTGGGTTGTGTGTGGATTTATATGTAGAAAGTGGAGCTATACGCCATTGGTGGGAATATGGTGACGAGAAAACAGGAATAAATTAGTTGAATGAAAAGCGCTCGTTGATTCCGTGGGGATTAAGGGTGCTGATTTGGAATATAAATTTTGTGTTCTAGTGTTTTACGGCTTTCCGAACTGCCTAGATGTAAGGAAAGGCCGCAAACTGCCATATGCTGTTTAGAATGATAAGGAAGATTAAAGTGTCTAGCGACTGGTTTGGATGCGTCCTTGTCATTTCTTTCCACATCGCGAAGGTGTTCTCGGAATCGGTCACCCAGTCGTCTTCCTGTTTCGCCGATGTATAACTTATTGCAATAAGTGCAAGTTATGCAGTAAATAACATTGGCGGAGGTACACGTAAAGTGATCAATGATCTTAATGGATCTTTTGGGTCCCGATATTTTCTCTACGTTATGAATGAAAGGACAAGTTTTGCATCGTGAGCGAGCGCATTTAAAAGTTTCAGATTGGTCATTGGTTTGAAATGAACTCCTGACTAACAAGTTGCCTATGTCTTTGTCACGTTTGAATGAAATAAGTGGGGGGTTGCGAAAAGATAGTGCCAGTCTCTGAATCGTTTTGGAGTAATTTAAAATTTTTACGAATGATAGATTTAACTGCGTGGTTGTGAGGGTGAAATGTAAGAGTAAATGGAATGCGGTCAGTGTTCTCCTTCTCGGCCGTTTGTAGTGCTGCCTGTCGATCGATTTGTTGGGCACGGTGGTAGCCCGCTTGAACGACAGAAACAGGATAGCCGCGTTTATCGAAAAACTGGCACATTGCCTCTGATTTTTCGGAAAAATCAGAGTCGTCACTACATAAACGACGAAGTCTGAGAAACTGTGAAAAAGGTATGGAGCTCTTGACGTGTGATGGATGTGAGGATGAATACAACAAGTAACTATGTGAATCTATAGGTTTGTAGTAAACACTAGTACATAAGCCGTTGCCTTCAATTGAAATTTTGATGTCTAGAAAAGCCAAAGAGTGTCGGAAATTTCCCAGGTATATTTAAGAGCCGGATGAAAGAAATTGACGACGGTTATAAATTGAGTGAGCTCCTCTTTGGTAGAGGAGGTAGCGCCGATGCAATCGTCAATGTAGCGGCCGTAGAGTTGAGGTTTTGGGCCGTGGTATTGGCTAAAAAATTGATGTTCGATAAAACCTACAAAAAGATTGGCGTAGCTGGGTCCCATTTTAGTACCCATGGCCACGCCATTAGTTTGTTTGTAGTAGTTACCACCGAATGAAAAGCAATTGAGTGTGAGTACTAGTTCGGCCAGACGGAGTAGTGTTTCAGAGCTAGATCCTTAACAGTGCGTTGATCGAAAAAATGTTTGAGGGCCCGGAGACCTTCGTCATTGGGAATGACAGTGTAAAGAGATGTTATTTCCATGGTGAAAATAAGTTTGTTTTGGTCGAGGAAACTAAAGTCACGAAAAATTTCAAGTGCGTGTTGGCTGTCCTTAATGTAAGACGGTAGAGTTTTGACGATAGGTGCCATAACTTTGTCTAAATAGCTGGAAATAAGTTCAGTGGGACAACTGCAGGCAGAAACGATGGGTCGACCTGGGTTGTTAGGTTTGTGGATTTTAGGTAAAAAGTAAATACACGAAGTTCTAGGAGTAGTAATGATGAGATTTTTAGCAGTGGCCGGCAATTCTTGTTTAGCTATAAGATTGTTAATCTTATTTTTGACAATGTTTTGGTTAATTAAAGTGAGATCTTTGTCGACTTTAGCATAAAAGGAGGTGTCAGAAAGTTGCCGCAAAGCTTCTTTTTGATAGAGATCGGCCCGCCAAACAACAACTGCACCGCCTTTGTCGGCCGCCTTAATGACAATGTCTTTGCGTTTTTTTAAACTTTTTAGTGCCGACCACTCTTCCGAAGAAAGATTGGAAAATTTGGTGTTACGATTGAATTTAAGTTTGTTGATATCGTGGCGACATTTTTTGAGGAAAAAATCTAAAGATGAAAACTGGCCCTCTGGGGGAGTCCATTTAGACTTTCGAATCTGGAGTGTTTCGAAAGTATCTTTGTTCGAGGTGTTAGAATCATCCTCTTTGTCATGAAAAAAGGCTTTCAACTGAACGCGGCGAAGGAATTTTTCAACGTCTTGCTTAACTGAAAATTCGTCGGTTTTTTGTGATATGGGAACAAAACTTAAGCCCTTGCTGAGAACTGATTTTTCTGAATCGGAAAGTAGAAAATTTTCTGGAATGGTAACTACAGTTTTGAGGTTTTCAGGCGATGAGTCGTTAGTAACTTGAGGGCCGATAAGTTGGTCGAGTTTTTGGGCCTTAATTTGGTGCAAACGTTTAAAAAGTTTAGAATTGGCATCCTGAATTTTGGCACGAATGGATTGTACTAAAACAGCTGGACAGATTTTGGAAAGTTCAGAGCGGCAATGTAGAATTTGTTCGGTGAGTTTGTTACGTTTTTGGCACATAGCTCTGATTGTGATTCTCATAATATTACGTGAAAAAGAATTTTGGGCGCACTGAATTTGGTGACGATATTGATTCGAATGAGAAAAAGAAAATGTGTGAAAATTGGAGCGAAAACCCTTAGGAATAACTTTGGAATGAAGGCAACGGCCGATGAAATGGATGTGACTACAAAACCTAGTTTTTACGAGTTTTACGAGTCGTGTATTGTGTAACAATAACCCCTGATCGAAGATGTCGGATCCATAAGTTAGCCTTAGAACCAGTTTGTACGTTATTGCATGACGTTAGGACACCAAAGTAGACAAAACTCATGGAATTTGTTCAAGGTAACGTGGTTATATCTTGTCATGCACAATTGGAGGAAAGCTTATTAGCAAATATGCTGAGGTGCTCGAGAAAGTACTGTACGTGTTCGTATCAGACACCGAGGCATATTCCTTTCAACAGAGCGAAACTCGGCTTAATTAATTCATTGTTCAGTGCAAATGAAGGCAACTAATCTTTCTTCCTTTTCCGGTTGACCTCTTTCATACAGGCCGTTCTCCACAACATATGCAGTGAGTCAATTTTCCTCCACAAGGAAAGGGAATCACTGCGGTTCAAATGCTAGGAGTAGGATCAGTTAAACATTTTTTGCAATTATCTATTGACTCCTTCCGAACATATCAGGCATTCCAAAGGTGGCGTTCTACAAAAGAAAAAAAACCCGTGGCTCTACGTTGCTAAGGTGACAAAACTTGGGTGTTCAATGAGCATCATAGGACTTGACATTTATGACTTATTTTTATCGACAATATCCGTTGTGAATAAGGTTTGAAAGGAACGAATCGATCAAATCAATAGAGAACTAACAATAAGAAATGAATACAAATGCTTAAATAGCTAGAGTTATACTATTTTCCGTCAAAAATATAGTTATGATTCTTCAAATTTGATGCTGATGATTGGTACCAAGTTATGGCGGACTCGACGACAATGAAACACATTCTCCCTTGGAATCTAGTTTCGGCATCCTTATTTGTTTTTACTTTATTTCTATGTTTTTTTTTCTTCAGTTAATCAGTATTTGGTGGGGGCACTGCTTCCGTCAAGAGAATTTTAAAAACAATGAATGAGTTACCAGGAATCGGATCCTTGTGTTTGTGCAAAGTTTTCTGGGATATTCCGATAAATCTCGACCTCAGTCGAAGAGGTTCTCGCGAAGGCCACAAACCATTACACTTTGTAAATGAACCCAAAATTTCTGGTTAATATCATTCTTTGTGTACAGCCCCCATGACATCATTTGCGAGAAAAAAATTCAGAAACGCTGTGATTGGTGCGAGATATCTAAATTCTGTGAAATGATTGGTGCGAGATACATATCCTTATGCGGCAATCTGATCGGTGCAAGATACATACCCTAATGCGGTAATCTGATTATTGCAAGCAACATACCACTCTACATGCTAACAGAGTTATCATATTTTTTGATCAAAAAAAAAAAAAACTCAAAAATGGTAAAAGCTACGTCGTAAAAAGTTCTAATATATGCGTTGTACGATATGTCTAGCATATCTTTTGAAGGAGAATGTACATTGAAAGAAAAAAAAAAAATAAAAAAGCGGCCAGGGCTCGAACTTTGTACCTTCGGACAGAGAGGAGTAAGTATTGTCCATTGTGTTAGGTAAGCAGAACGTACAAAGATGGGGCATTTTGTAATCATATACATTTGATGCAAATTTAATACATGTACCTTTTCTATTAATTTCCTGCCCTGTCCCCGGCCTGTAAATTGACTGGCGTATAGACTCTGTTCCAACCAAGTCCTCCTTTTTCCACAATTTTGGCATCGACAAGAGCTGTTTATTAACCCCTCTGCATTTTGACCACATTACCTGTTTACTAAAATACTCTACAGCTTTACATCAGTAGGTAAATGCAGTCATAGACTACCTTCTATTTTGTATTGTTCAAGACTTCAAAGCTCAATTATCTCCTACTTCGTTTATATGTTATATTACCATGACCTCAACATTTCAGGCAGTCTTCATAATGTTCTCTACACGTCACCTATAGGGCTTTAAACTCTAACGACAGCCTTTTATGTGCATGATCATTTCTTTTATTCTCATGACCTTTACATGTCAATCAGGGGTGAGAGAAATTAGATGTTAGTTACTCATGTGTAAAATTTTTATTTGAGAAGGATTGGAAACAAGGCTAATTTCGGTAATTCCTCACCTCTGCCATAATCTTTGGATTTTGATTGTTGAACATCTGTGTCAAGTTTCTGATGACTGAGTTCAGTGGAATACCATATTTCCTGGGATAAGTGCACATGTTCTACTAAGTGCCCTCCCCAAGTAAGCGCCCAACCGGTACCCCTAAGCCACAATACATATTTCAAAAGAAAGTGCCCCTCACTTTCTTAAATAGTATGGATGCAAGGAAATCTCGTTCTATTGCCACTTTATTTATAACTTTGAAGCTTCAGCCATGGCAGGATCAGTACAGGAGAAAAAGTGCCCTCCTTTTGGTCAAAATTTTAAGCAAGTGCCCAGACCCTTAGTTGAGGAAATACAGAATGTGGGTTCTCCTTGAAATCCTCTGTATTTAAGTAGCAATACCAATCACTTGCCCTGTTCACACCAATTTAAACAAGTTTCATTAAACGTAGTTTTTTTAAACATGGTTTTATAAAACATGTGTTGCTCAAGAACCGTTCACACTGCAGACTGGGTTAGGTATTACGCAGCCTCGTTTTGATATTAATTGTTGCCAACAAAATTAGAGACGCAATCAAAATGGCGCTCAGTTTAAATCACAATATCCTGCTGTTGTTGGCGCAGTCACGGCTGAGGGACAACCTCAGAATTACACAAAACCGACAGAGAAACGCAGAGAGACGGTTTAATCGCTATGTCCGTCGGAGACGTCTCGTTTCATCATTGTTTTTTCGTTTTTTGCTTCGATTTCTTCTCCAACATCTTCCTGTTCGCCGTATTTGGCTAAAACCCCGGTCGCAGATATTTTGGGAAGAGACTTGCCAAGATTGGGAAGAAAAGGACTGGAATGAGAATTTTCGCATGTCTAAAGAAGCATTTAATCGCCTTTGCCGAGAACTTTCGCCACATATCTCTAAAAGGGACACCAATTACAGGAAAGCCATTACAGTGCGTCATCGAGTTGCCATAACATTATATTGGTTTGCGGACACGGCTCACTTTCGAACGATCGGAAATCTATTTGGTGTCGGAAAATCCACTGTTTGTGGTATTGTGCGACAGGTATGCGAGGTGATAGTGAACTATCTTCTTCCCAATTATATAAACGTTCCCCAAAATCAACATGAAGTCCAAGAAAAAATTGAAGGTTTTAAAAGTCGCGCGGGTTTTCCCCAGGTGGTTGCAGCAGTCGATGGTTGCCATGTCCCAGTCATTGAACCTCGGCAAAGTCCAGATGATTATGTTAACAGGAAGGGATTCCACTCATTAATCCTTCAGGGGCTAGTAGATTGTAATTATCTATTTCTAGATATATGTGTTGGATGGCCGGGTAAAGTACACGACGCACGTGTCTTCAAGAACTCTTCATTGTTTGCCATGTGTTGTGCCAGAGCTTTTCTTCCGCTCGACATGTCGGTGATGATATCTGGTGTACAAGTTCCTCCCCTGATATTAGGTGACTCAGCTTATGCTCTCAGCAATTGGCTGATGAAACCATATATTGATCGTGGAAATCTGACCCCGGAGGAACGCAGTTTCAACATAAAACACAGCACGACTAGAGTAGTTGTTGAAAATGCCTTTGGTCAATTGAAGGGAAGGTTCAGAAGCATTGGAAAGAGACTGGACTTAAAAGTTGAGAATGCCTGCAATGTCATCGCAGCGTGTTGTGTTTTACATAATTATTGTGAGATGCGAAACGAGTCTTTTGATGACCAATGGCTCAATGATATTCACATTCATGCTGGAGTTTGTCCAGGTGATCCAAACCAAAGGCAGAACACAAATGCTGTTGCAATAAGTGATGCAATTAAAAGATTCTTAATATAAATATTCATTGTCACATGCATCACTTGAACATGAGTGTTCAACATAAGCATCTCTCACAAGCAAATAATCCATCAAAGAGTTTGCATCTCTAGCTCAAAAAAGTCGTTTATATGAATACTTTCTCCCTTTAAGGTTTATTGTATACAGTGCAAATAGTTTCATAAATAATGGAAGAGTCAAGATCTTTTGAAGGACACTCCTCTAAGAGGGTCAAGCAGTGTTCCATTTGTAATTACAGTTGTATAAATGAGATTTGAAAAGTAAATTGTCAATTGTGTAAATTAAAATTACTGATGGCAAACTTTGATTGTCTGTGGTATTCTTTGAAACCCTCACATTTTTTTTGAACATTTCAAAACCTGGACACCATCTGAGAACAGTTAAAGATGCAGTCATTGCAAGTTTGCCATTTCACATGTGAAATAAACATATTAGCACTGAAATTATGCTAAAAAATTAGGGAGTAGTTTGAAACCTATGGTGTGACATAAGCTAATTTAGCCATGCATACTACATGTTCACATAAAATACTAATTTGAGTGCAAGACTTGCATCTTCCTCTCTGAGTATTAGATGTAGGCATAAAGAAGGAGGGGGACAATCTCAGCTTTTCGATCAAAGTGTTCAGTTCGAATAGCAAGGAGATCTACTCACTCAGTGACATGGCCTCAGCTGGCATTAATGTCAGCAATACTAATTTAATTCATTAACTTTTTGCTCTTGTTCCATTGCAAGTGACTGTGTAATTATACACCAGACTTTTTTGGTTAGTCCCTTACAAGAAAGAATAATTAAGCAAACAAACACAGAGCTCTCTGTTGTAAATTTGTCAAGGAGACTTAAAAGACATCATTCATATGACCCTCTCTCTCTGAACAACTGATGGAACCTCAGAAACAAATTTCATCATTTTAAAGGTGGATCAAAACTTTATTTCAAATATTAAATCAATTTTTCCAAAAGATCCTAACCACTGTGCACAAAAATATTCATTTATTTCATTAATTTTCCGCAGCATTTTTTAAATACTCTGGGCCAGGTCGTTCAAAGGTGGCTTAACTTAACCCAGGGTTAGTGTGAAATTTGATTTCAAATATGAAAATTTAAAAAGAAATCCATTTTCTTTTTTTTTTTTCTACAATTTGATGATTAGATGGTCTAAAAGGAATAGGGAAAATTATCCCAAAAAAGACTCCTGAATAAAGAAATAAAGAAGCTGAATCAAAATTTAACCCTGGGTTAGTGTTAATCGGCCTCTGAACAACTGGGCTCTGCCGGAAAATTGAAAATACCACTTATACAAGAAATCTTTAAAGGCAGAAGTTAAAGTTTGAGCCAATACTTATGTCAATATTTTTGTTCAACTCCACTCATCTTGGAAGTAAAATTATCAAGAAATTTTGTTAGAGATTACAGACAACGTAGGCGCCGATATTGAAACATTTTCGTGGCCTATTGTCTGACCCTCCAATCAGCGAAAGTTTTCAAAGCTCACCTGTCAAACATTCACCCTTGTTTGGTTGAGGAAATTTGCCGGCTGTTTTGTTGTTGCTGCCGACGCTGGTGCCGCCGCTGAGGGAAGGCAACTCTTCGTTTGGTTCATCGTTCTCGATTTTTTCATTGTCTTCTTCTTCGTTGTCCGCCTCAATGATAATTTTTGAAGAATTTACCACAACCTTCGGTTTGGTACATGGTTTTTTTGAGAGAAATTCATCGACTTCGTCGAAAAACGCCGGCCTCCTCTCTGGAGTCCCGTTTCCGGTCTTCTCACATTCGTCTTTGTAGGAGCGATACGCACTTACTCATGTGTGTACTCTTGTTTTGCAGGCATCTTCATCACGGTCTTCGTAGCCTGCCGCTCGAATAAAATCACTTATTTCTTGCCATATAGGCCTCTTTCTGGTACAAGATATTAACTTCATTTGTATATTTTCGTCCCCCCACTTCTGTAGTAACAATAACGTTTCCTGGTTTTCCCAAATCCTTCCGCGGGTTTTTTTGGAAACCGCCATCTTTAATGTGTTTAGCTAAACACGAAAGTTAAACAACCTCATTTAGGTAGTTTTATTAAACACAGTTTTAAACATGTTTGGCTACACGCGCCCGCGGTGTGAACAGGTAGTTTAATAAAACCAGTTTAGTAAAACAAGATTTAAACATGTTTAAGCTTTGGTGTGAACGGGGTAACTGCTTTTAGTTTAACTGGGTGAACCACCAAAGACTATTTATCGGTGTACAATCAGGTGCTTTCATGATAGAATAGACCAGGTGAGTTTGCATGTAAGGTGGCTCAAATTAATTTGGTAAACACCAGTTCTGTAATAGATCTACACCATCAAACTTTTTTTATTTTTTCTCTGCCAAATGGTACAAAACAATGCTCAATTTCTTCAAAACATGTTTAAATTAGCATCAAGTTACCATAGCAATATTAGAGCCTTTTAAAAACACCCTCTATTTTAGCCTCCTGTGCCAGTGTTACTTTGTACTTTGGTGAATGGTTGTTAAATATCCACTACAGAATTTCCTGAAATAAATCAAATAAATGGGTATTTGTCAAAAATGTGCTGAATGAAACAAGTCTTTCAGTCAGGAAAATCACAGAAACCAAGTGTGAATTTGCCTGTCAGTAAGGACATCTTTTTTAGTGAGGCTAAACTGGAATATATACCAGTAGATTCATCCTAAAACATACTTCCTGAAGAGGCTAGCAACAAGTTATTAGTACCTCTCTCGCCCTGATTATGGCACTTTACAACTTCTAAAAACTATCATCTTTCAAGTTTGTGTGACATCAGCTCTCCAGTTGGATGAGGTGACAACGATTGCTCCAATATGACATCTGTGCTTGCATTTACCAGAAGACTGTACAAGAACAAAAGGCACTCTGATGTTTTTGTATTGGTATCACACGATTTTCAGGTGCAATTTTGTAAAAGTACACATGAGAAAACTTTTCAGATTAAAAAAATAGCACCAACCTGTGTTTATCATATGGAGCTATTTTATGCCAAATTATTTGAGATTACTCATCAAAAATACACAAGAAAATCAACACAAGTAAAATTTTGACAGAACATGCTTTAACAGATTGGCTGGAAAGATTGCAAAAGACCACATCATTCAAAACTTGTCCAACATTTTTTATTCAAACCATTCCAAAGAAATTAAGAAAACTTGGTTTACAATAATCAGAAGAAGTTAACTGTTCAATCAAAATCATCTGAAAGCTTGGCATTCACAAGATCATCAGTGCCATTATAAAACCTCGGGTGAATGCTTGAGCATGCTTTGAACATGCTTTGAACATGCAACATATATAGTTTGCTCTCCTGTTGCAAATCTGCATGCATTACAAATGAGAACTACACTCTTTTCAGAGCAATCATAAGCGAGTAATTTCTTCAACTATATCATTAGGAAATGAAAAAAAAAAAATCTGAAATAATTGGTTATAGGTAAAACAAAGGATATTGCAGGAAGCAAGTCCAACAAAGGTATTCTGCTAGTGACCTGCTGTCACTTGTTTTCATACAGAAGGACCAACATTCCAATAAATCAACTGCTATTACTGTAAGCCTTTTTGGAATTTTGGACATACAAGGAAGAAAGAAAATGAGATACCACCCAGGGAGCAAGTGGTGCAATGCCTGTAAAATAAAATATTTACAGAAATGCCAAAGACTGTGGTATGGCAATAACAAAGTAAAGGAAGGTGCATCATATCATTCACACCTAACTATGTTCTCATTACCAAATTGTAATTTTTCCCTATGAAGAAGGGTGATATGGAGAACATTTTGAAACAAAAAGGAAGAGAAGAATTATTTAAGTTGTACAAACAGAAAGCCAAAAAGTGCACCATCCTGGAAACACAGCTGAATGTGGAGAGGCATCAGCTCATGGAGATGAAAGGTTTCTAACAATGAAGGGCAGCTTCTGCTTTAATTAACTTAAAGTATTGTAAAATTTATTTCACAATTTCTTTATACTTTCATCGCGGACAATTTGAAAAACAAAATAATCCTTATTTAGAATAAACTATTGATAAGAAGCTGGATGTATTTCAAAAGGCCCTGTACAGACATGAAGTTGCCAACCCTGACCTCAAAACTTACAATCCTGGAACCATGAAACAGTTTTCAGATAAGTACAGCCCCAGACTATTTTGAGACCTACTGAGCTGTATAACAGGGAGTAAAAGCTTGTCCAATAAAAGAAAAGAGTTGCAAGAACAGAGTGGTTTCTCTACTTCACATCCTTGCGTATTTTAGGTAATTCGCTTTCAATGGACATGAAAATGAGCATGAAACTAAGCCATTTTGCTTGATTAACATTTGAAGAATGAATGTTAATTTTGTGACAGGTCACAGAAAACTTCTGCCCTTCAGAGGGATGGTGAACTTTGTGCATTTAGTGGAGGCATGTCCCTACAGGGATTATCAGCTGGTCAGCTTTTGGGTTACAGTACAACACACAGATCTATACAACAATGGAAAGTAGACTTTTGTAACCAACATGCAGCATTCATATCAAAACAGTTACAGAGGGCAAATGAGGTGAGTTTGTCATTTGTAAAGCAACATGTTCTTAGTACAAGTTTAAAGGTAACCACAATACTCTACATATTTAATGGAATTTGTCCTAGAAGAAAGGGCTTGGGAAAAATATCTTCTAAAGCTAAAGTTTAGTTTCTCTCAGAATTTTCATGTTCCTGTTGTCAACTCATGGTTTTAACATTAGTCATCTTTCTTAACAGCTGAAATGTTTTATAATTTTAATGGTGGATGACTTCCACAACATTCACTCCCTCCATACACCATCAAAACTAGTGCACACAAACATTGTACACATGGCATTCTGTCTTGCTGACATTCATCCTACAATACATGCAGTACCATGACCAGAAATGCTCTTTGAATTCAAGTTGACCACATATTTATAAACAATCAGCAGCCAAGAGGGAAGCTGCAGTGTTATCTGCCAACTTTTGATACCATAGTTGATACCAAGTGTTTTCCACTAAGTTACAGCTAAGATGATGTAGAACCTGGCTTGCAACCTGATCTGAACATTTACTGTGACTCATCGACCTGCACAAGAACAGATGACCACTGTTGTTAGATTGGCCTGCTTTCATTGTTTCCATGAAACATGCCTTTTTTAATCAAATCCTTGCTGCCCAATCTGTCTGGAGCTACTGAAAAAAAAAGTGAAAAAATTAGCAGAAACCTACAACAGAGGACTTTTAAAGTCCAAGGACATGGAACCCTTTAAAAATGATGAAGATCTGTTTGAAGAAGATAGCAATGCTACACCAGTTAGGAGTATGAATGTAACTGATGCTGAATCATTTTATTCATCAACAGAATGGATTCTGAAGGTTGACAATATCTTATATAGCTATCCAAGAATCCCTCTTCCATCCAAACCCAATCATTCAGTCTACAGTCTACAACCACCCTTCACCTCCAGATACAAATTCACCTGGCCATCACTGCTCTCCTAACATTCTAACGCCCATCAATATCCAACCATATCAACATGGCAATGTCACTTTCTGGTTCTTTCCATGCATTATTTCACAGTCAACAATTCTTGGTAGAACAGGAAGCAATGCATGCACGCTTATTGCCTTTTCGTTTGGCAAATTGTTTTATTCAGTCAATGTTGATATTCCTGTAATAACCAGTTCACTGAGTCAGACATGGGTGTACTAGATAATTGTTCAAGGAATCTTGCTAGACAACAGGATCTATGATTCAATCGTACAAAACTCTCCACAAACCTTTGGTGTCGTACAAGTTCTGCAAGTCTTTACAACAATGAACAATATCATCGGCCATACCACTGTGGGTCCTGAATTTCCTGTCAGCATTATTCCGGAAGCAATTCCTTCGGCTTTGTCATGTTTCCTCTGGAAACGAGCTCTACTGCAGGGAAGAACGGCTTCTGTTTAAATTGTGGGTTCCACACCGTTGTATTTATTCCAACGTCCCGAGGAATTTTTCTTTTAGATAGCCACATCCACGAAGAACAGTGGAGCTCGTGTGGCTTTTGCTGGGTGGCAGCATTCATGCATATGAGCTTCTCTCGTGCTAAAAGGAATTCAATAATTTCCAATACACCCTTGGGACTGTAACGAATGTCAAATTCCACTGAAATCGATTTGCAACAAAATTTGTAACTTGTGCTGAAGCTATGCATGGGGTAAAGCGATATTTTGCATCGTTTCCAATTTGTTGATGTATGACCACGTAGGTTAGGTGTGCTTCCGCTTCGCCTTGATAAAAAGTTCCATTTTTCTAAGAGATTTACATTTATCAATAACGCATGGTATTAATTACCTTTTCTCAATTTGAATGCTAGCTTATTTTCCAAAACAGAAACAGTTGAGGTAAGTAAAAAAATTAAGCTTACAATGTGCTTACTTACCGAGTGCTAAATGCGCTGACATATTCCGGAATTTGTGATAAACAACATTTCCCAACATAACTTGTTTCACATGTCGAAGATTTCAGTTTACAGAGGTCATTTTCAAATAGCGTCCTTAAATTCCGGTTTGAAAGGAAAACCTACATCCATGAATACACTGTTCAATAGCTCCAACCTTAAGTCGATCAAACGATCGAAAAGCATGTTAACAAGAAGGTCAAGAGGCTCACGCTACACATGCGCAGACGTTTTGCATCCTTGTCATTCCAGCGTGGATGAATTTCTTCGAAGAGTAAACAGAACATCGGTTTTACACTTTTTTGGACTGATATTGATGTGATCCGACCGGAAACTTTAGTGGAGTTTGTTCTCAGGAAAAAGGTCTGAAGGGTAAGTAGAATTCTTTTAGTTATAGTTCAACTAAAGCTAATTTAAATTTATCCACTTCATCATCGGTATTTGTTCAGTGCAAGCTTTAAACTTGAAAAGCTTTTCAATGTAGCCTGTTTTGGTAGTAAAAGCTGTTTTACAATCGAAATTAGTTTTGAATCTGTTGCCAGTCATTACAAACTTGTCGCTCGGTCGATTTGCTTACATCGCGCAGAACGCCAATTGTTCTCACGACACTTACTTACAGTAGCGAAAGTTATATTAGCAGTGAAGCGTAATTTGGAGAGCTTTGATTGGTCATAGATTACACGGGCTTTCCTCCTCAGGGAATATCGCTTTAGCTCATTAACCTTTCAAGCGGAGCTAAGAAACAATAAATGAATAAAGGGGTAAGTTTTTTAAAGAAACTGTGGTGCTGCGTCGGTGGGAGAGTATAGCAGGTAATTTAGTGTTGACAACTGGGTTGAAAACGTAAATTAGCCACCGTAAAGGGTAAAAAAGCTGACGTTTCGAGCGTTATGCATCTATCATCGGCCATCCCCTGGGGGGGGGATCCCGGGCAAGGGTGGGGACTTTGTAAAGGACCCTGTCAAAGTTCTTATTTTCCCCCTCCTAGGTGGGGACACAGAGGAATCAAAGTTCCCCTCCCTGAGGGGAATCACCTTGAGCAGCTTGAAACCTGACAAGAAAACAGTACTTTATACCCTTAACGAAATGTCATGTTTTAATAGTGCTTACATGTTCGTAACAATGCAAATTTCAATGTACTGCTAAATACAATTACACAAAAAAATGTTAACCAAAATACAGTGTAATACACGATGTCTGTTCAGCTGACTTTTTGGACTTAAACCGAATATTTACAATAATGTTGATGTGCATTTCTGATCTATTGACAGCATATCATAAATGATAAACCTATCAAAATTCAATAATGCTCAAGTGGAGCACATATCACAATAATACTCAGGCATTGCATCCGCATCTTCTTCAGAAACCCCCACGCAAGAGCCATGGTACCATGTTCCACAAACATCACACTGGACCTGTTTCGTTTGCAAAGTCCCCTGTTTTCCCCGCGGTGCAAGGCTTTTGGAAAACAAACCTCCCTCATTTCCCCCGCCTCCAGGGTAAGTTAATCGTTCAAATCCCCGTATAAGTCCCCATTCAACGTTGAATTTGCCCGGGGTCTCCCCCCAGGGGATGGCCGATGATAGATGCATTAGCCCTTCGTCAGAGCGATAGACGAAGGGCTAACGCTCAAATCAGTCAGCTTTTTTACCCTTTACGTTTACAACCCAGTTGTTAACACTAAATTACCTGCTAAGAAACAATAGCTTAGCAAGTACTTTTCCCACTTTGCCCCAAAAAATTTTCAAATTTTTCGCAACTTCGCCTATTCCCATTCGTAGGTCCAGCCAAGCATTTAAGGTGATTGGCCCCCATATAGCCGCTAACTATGGCTTATAAATACAGGTATTAACTTGTAAAACTCTCTGAAAAAGTCTTTGACAGTTAGATGAAAAAGAAAAGAAATTTTACAACTACTGTTCGCAGAGTGCTGCTCACCAGTTTAGTTTTAAAGATTTTTCTAAAAATTTGGTGCAACAGCTGTGGCCACTTTTTCTATGCAATTTGTCCGTATATACCTTTCGCAGAGGCGTGGGGACAGAGACACCAACACAACATTTCACCTGCTGTTCGGTTCGAAAGTTAAGTTTTCATCCCGTGTTCATTTGTTAAATTGAATAGGCAAAAAAAGGCACTTCGAACGGAAAACAGAATTATTTTAACATCTGATTCTTTTGAAAAAAGGTCTCCTAAACGAGTGGCCCTGATTATAAACATTTAAGCATTGTAAACACATTAGCCTTAACTTGGCTGTTTCTCGAAGCTCCGTGGTTTTCTACATGCCTTTTTTCACGTGAAATGGGGCGATTGAATATTTATAATATACACTAAAAGAACTACAGCTGATGGAAATTTTAAATTTCTTATCTAAAGGCTGTGGATACAAACTTATTAATGACTCTAAAAATATAAAAATCTAGAACAAAATTTTTTTTAGTGGTGATTAGCTTTTCATTTTTCTGGAATTGAAAGTCGAGATTGCAAAATTCAAGTGAAAAGCAAACCAACTGTGATGAACGCCTTAAATAAGTCAAGATACTTTTTTTTCCTTAATACAACAAGTTACATATCGTAAATATCATTCTTCTTGATGCCTTTCCTGGTGTCACCAATGCCTTTCCCAATGCCTCTATTGGTTCATATAGCAGTAAAAATATTTTTCCAGTCAAAGCATTTGGAAAATTGCTTAACTTTTTAAGTAGTGAAGTATAACTTGGTAACATTTTGGCGTTACAACACGATCATTATTTTTTGTAAGTTACAAAATGTAGAATGATATAATTCTTCTTGGTGCTTTTCCAAATGCCACGGATGCCTCTTCCAATACCTCCATTGTTTAATACAACAGTAAAAGATGTATTTACAATCAACACTTTTGAAGAATTGCTTAACATTTTATTTAGCAAAGTATACTGTTAACATTTCAGCTTTCCAAGACTATTGTTTTCTGCAAATACAACTGATATGTCTCTATATGTAGTATTAAAGTTGTTTCCCAGCTGACCACTCCTATTTTGATCTTTTCTTCTTTCCCCGCTTGTAGCTTGTGATGTAGTAACTCCTGCTTGTGTGACATGCTCAATGAGCATTCGATTTTGCAACTATCTGCTACATATTCATCTCTTCCTACATCCTACTCGACAAACACTTCGGTTCTATCATAACCCGTTTAGGATTCAATTTTCATCAGAAAATCCACCCACACAATTTTTCTATGATAGTGAGGACCTAATAAAGTCTTAAAAGTCACTTTGACACTTGTTTCTTCGAAACGAAAAAACAGCACTAACCCTTTTAACTCCCATGAGGGACCAGGACAGAATTTCTTCTTACAATATCAACACAATATCAACCAGATAAAAGATGAGAAAAGAAAAATATATCAATTTTGGGGATAATTAATTGATCCAACACTTAATTCTCTGAACTAACATTATAGAGAAGCCT